GGGCAGGGAGAAAAGTGCAACAATTAATGAATGGAAATCCAAAGTCTCTAAACATTCATTAAAATTAATAATAAAAGATACAATAAAAAAGAAACTTTGAGTCAAGGAACTATTGATTCTACTGAATAGAAAAAGACTAAATGGTCTTTAGTTTTTGTATATTCTGCTATAATTTCTCTACTTTTAAAAAACAAAGAAAAAAAGAAAAACAACAAAAACCCAAAAACAGAGTACCTAGGTTAGCTACCAAAACAAAACCGGGAAGTGGACATTTGTCAGTAGTAAGTTTAGTATTCTGTATACACCAAAATCAGATCTGAGATACTTGTTGCTATTGTGCATAATTTTTCAAACAAATAGGAAAGGTTGAATGGTCCAAGCATTTTAACTACGCATCATAATTTGAAGAATTCTCTTTGGTAACATGCAATCTATTTCAAACCTCTAGTCCCTATTCTTAAATATCCAGTATAATGGTACTCTTTGTGGAGCAAAATAGGCACATTATGAAAACTAATTAATAGAATTCATTTCCCTAATCACTTCTTGGGAGTGTGGAGGGACAATGTAAGAAATGAAGACCCTTGATGAGATGGATTGATTCAGTCATTGGGGTGTTGGGGGTAGGCATGCCAGAGACAATAAGGCTGGCACAGGATAAAGCAGGGTTTAGGGTTGCTGCACATAGTGTCACTATGAGTCACAGGTGACTCGATGGCAAATAACAACAACAACAACAATAACAATCAGTCCTTTATTATCCCTGTCTATGTTATGACATGGAAAGCTACAAAAATAGCAATGACATAATGACATAAATTTTGGCACATAAATTAACATCAAATACCTCTTTGTTTGTTTACAGATTAATCTACAAAATGTGTATACTAATATTAGCTAAGTTCTTTGTTGGTATTGGTTTAAGTGACCAGATCAAGTTCTATAACAATAAACCTGAACAGATGGAACTATGTTTGACACATCACTAAACAACAGCTGTTTTAAAAATAAAATTTAGCTAATATGTTTTTTTCTCATGAAAAGGCAAAACTTACTCTAGAGGTTACACTAAATCAATTATTTTTATTCTGAAAAATATTACCCTTTCTTTTAAAGATGTAGAAAAGGCAAGAGACTCTCAAATAAGCAAAGCACTTCTGAAAAACAAAAATTAAGTGGCTGGCATAGTACTTACTGATCTCAAAACCTACTGTGTTGTTGTGTACTGTTGAGCTGGCTGGAATTGACCCATAGCTCATGCTCCAGTGGGTTTTCAGAGACAACAGAATGGGAAGGGATTGCCCATTCTTCTCCTGTGAAGAAGCTGGTAGATTTGAATTGTATGCCTTCAGGATTGCAGGGCACCTTCTCACCACTGTAATAACCTAAACAGCATGGTACTGGTACAATGATAGACAATGATAGATCAATGGAACAGAATTGAGAACCTAGAAATTAACCCTTCTACCTATAGTCTCTGAGAAGAATGGGAATCCCAGAACACTTGATCGTGCTAATGGGAAACCTATACTTGGACCAGGAGGCAGTCGTCAGAACAGAACAAGGGAACACTGCATGGTTCAAAATTGGGAAGGGCGTATGCCAGGGATGCATCCTATCTCCATACCTTTTCAACCTATATGCAGAACAGATTATCTGGGAGGCTGGGCTCTATGAGGAGAAATGTGGGGTCAAGATTGGTGGACGATTTATCAATAATCTGCGTTATGCAGATGACACAACCCTGCTTGCTGAAACTGAAGAGGACCTGAAACACCTGCTGCAGAGGGTCAAGGACTGCAGCCTCCAATATGGATTGAGGCTCAATGTCAAGAAGACAAAGATTCTCACCACTGGACCAGTTGGCAGCATCAGGATGGATGGTGAAGAGATTGAGATTGTACACAGCTTTAGTCTGCTTGGCTCCACAGTCAACACTCTTGGCACCAGTAGCCAGGAAATTGAAAGGCACATTGCCATGGGAAAGTCTGCTGTTAGGGACCTCTCCAAAGTACTGAAGAGAAATGGTGTCTCTCTGGAGACTAAGGTGCGTTTGATACAGGCCATGGTCTTCATAGTCACTTGTTATGCATCAGAGAGTTGGACAATGACCAAGGAGGATAGAAGGAGAATTGATGCCTTTGAGCTGTGATGCTGGAGAAGAGTATTCTGAGAATACCATGGACTGCTAGGAAAACAAACAGATTCATCCTGGAAAGGGTTAAACCGGGTGGCTCCTTGGAGGCAAGTATTCTGAGGTCTGTCTAACATACTTTGGACATGTTATGAGGAGAGACTGGTCCTTGGAGAAGGACATCATGCTTGGTAGGGTGGAGGGATGGCACAGGAGGGGAAGGCC